GAGCTGAACAGTTGTTGAGATGACCAGCTGCAGAGAGGAGCCACTCACTTTAGGGCCTGTTTTCTGCTGAGAGCTGTGCAGACAATGGGACGACCAGCTGCAGAGAGGAGCTACCCTTTCTGCTAGGAGCTGAACACTTGTCCAGACACCCAGGCTGTGGAAAGGAGCTGCTCCGTGCAGGTTTCCTATGAGCTGTTCTGTTGCTCAGTGAAGCTCCTCTTTGTCTTGCTTCTCCACTTGTCTGCGGATCTTTTCTTCTGGTCACAGGACAGGAACTCGGGGCCCGCTGAATGGTGAAGCTAAAGAGCTGTAACACAAACAGGGCTGAGACATGCCCCTTGCTCGCCACATTGTGGGCAAAGAGAAGGAAAGAAGAGTTGTGACCCTTCGGGAAGCCCAGACCTGGGAGCTCCCTGAGCCAGGGCTGTCACTCCCTCTTTGGGGCCCTTTGGTTCTTGGAGTTTTCAAGCTTCCAGGCACCACCATATTTCCCAGTGCCATCTGTGGAAGCTGCTTGTGGTGTGCCTGGTCCGGCCACAGCCTCTCAGAGAGCCGGCACCTGTGCCAGCACCTGGAGCTGCTTGCCCTGCTGCAGCAGCCAGCATGTCTGACTGTGTGCAGTGGCCGGACCCCATGCTCACTCACACACCCCTTGCCATTCCACACCTGACTTGCCTTTGGCAGGCGTGGGACCCAGGCCAGTAGTGTGAGCCGAGCGCAGCCTGCCAGGTCGAGTGGGCAAAATGAGCCCAGTGGGTCTCAGCAAAACTCAGGTAAAGACAGGGGTTTCTGGCCAGAAAAACGACACCCCAAAGATCCTGTAACAATGGTTATTATTTTTCTGGCAGTTTTTTCTTGTTTTCTTTGGGGAAAAAGCAAAGCTTGCTTGTTTAGGGGTAAAAACTTGAATGTCCAAGCCAAATACTGTCATGTTGACATAAGGTAAATCAAATAGGTAACAGTTTCCCCAATGGGGCCTAGAGTGTAGTATAAAGTGATCTTTGTAAAAAGAGAACATTATTTTAGCGCAACAACTTTTAAGATTTTTTTCACATAATACTTCTAAAATGTATTTCTTTGCCAAAATAATCATTTTTAGAGTTCTTCGAAGCAGTTTAGAGGAAGATGTTCCATTTGATTCTGTTCATGAGGTATAGGTAAAAGTTTGCTTATAACATGGATCCATTTTCCCCAAGTTCTTTAGTTGACAAAGAATGCTTTTAAAAATGTTATTACGCCGGGTGCGGTGGCTCATGGCTGTAATCCCAGCACTTCGGGAGGTCGAAGTGGGCGGATCACTTGAGGTCAGGAGTTCAACACCAGCGTGGCCAACATGGTGAAACTCCATCTCTCCTAAAAATACAAAAATTAGCTGGGTGTGGTTGCCCACACCTGTAATCCCAGCTACTCAGGAGGCTGAGACAGAGGAATCACTTGAACCCGGGAGATGGAGGTTACAGTGAGTCGAGATGATGCCATTGCACTCCAGCCTGGGTGACAGAGCAAGACTCCATCTCAAAAACAAAAATGTTGTTGGATTTTTTTTTGAAGCATTAGACAAATGGGTAGTTAATTCAGAAAGGAGTTTACTTCCTAGTTGCATATACATGTGTAATACTTGACATCTTCAAAACACCCACTATTTTATTTGATTTTCATCACATCTTGGAAGTACCACAGCTAGTATTTTTCCTATTTTGAATGTATAGATATAGATATTGAGGGCAAAATGAATTTCTTAATGTCATACAGCCTTGTTAAGTAGGAATTTAGATTTAAATAATGCTAAATTAGATTGAGAGTCAAAGTTGAGATTTAAACAAGACTCTTTCCTTGCAAAACAATGCATTCTGTATCTACTATGTTCCACGCACTGTGGTCAGCACTGGAGATACACAGATAAGACACAAATATTGCCTTCCAGGGGCTTGAAGGTAGTGACAGAGACTACTCAGTGAGGGAAGTGAGTGTAGTGGTGCCCCACGGAAGGGCCATGTAGTCAGATATTTTTGAAGGAATGACTAGAAGTTAGCCAGCTTAGTGGGTGTGGATAGAGATGGTCAGGTAGAAAGAACAGTCAGGGAGGCCTTGTGTCTTTTGGGGAGTGCTAGTATTCCCATTGTCAGTCCTGTTCTTTGCTGTGCAACCAGAGGTAGACAGTTGTGCCCTATATTGAGAAGTTTGTAAAAAGGTTTCAGGGTGCCAAAAGAGAATTTAAGTAGATGTAGAAGACCTTGGATTGATCATGGTTTGACTCGTAGTTCTTGGGTTTATTCACTGTAGAATTATAGACAGGTGACTATTTCTGAGCCCTAGTCACCTCATCTGTAAAATGGAAATAACATTCAATTTATAGGCAGTTAGAAGGACTAAGAAAAAGAAATGGGCTGAGTGTGATGGCTCACACCTGTAATCCCAGCCCTTTGGGAGGCTGAGGCTTGAGCCCAGGAATTTAAGACCAGTCTGGGCGATATAGCAAGACCCCATCTCTACCAAAACAAACAGACAGACAGACAAACAAATTAGGCAGGCCTAGTGCTGCATACCTGTAGTCCCAGCTACTTGGGAGGTGGCCGAGGTGGGAGGATCAATCAGTTGAGCCTGGGAGGTGGAGGCCGCAGTGAGCTGCACTCCAGCCTGGAAGACAGAGCAAGACCTGTCTCAAAATGTACAAAAAAAAAAAAAAAAATTAAAAAAGGAAATGTAAATAAAAACACCTAGCGTGCACCAAACCTGTAAGTACTCAGTAATGGGAGATGAATTAGGAGAAGTAAAGACAATTCTTTACATATATATAAGCTTCTAAGTAGAACTGAAATATGAGTTGAATCTTCTTTGAAAATAGTATAAAAATATTTAAACATTTCTGAAACAGCTTAGCTGAAGTGGTCTTATAATTTCATGTTTTAAAATTTAATATTTAGGAATCCTTCCATATGGCATTTCTTAATATCCTTACTTGAAAGCAAGACTTTTTGTGTAAGATGTGATTGATAGGCTGTGGGACTAACACAAGTTAGTTGTTGTGTAGAATCAGTTTTGCTTGCATTCTGTTGTGTACCATGCTCATCCCCCAACACTCTGACCCAGAAATGAATTCTTAATTGGAAGACCTGGATCTGTCGTTTGCTGATGGTCTAATCTTAGACAAATTAGTGGCCATTTAGGTGTTTCTTTAGTGTTAAAATGGGACCTAATTAACTTAGCTTTACAGAATAGAATGAAATCATGCATGGATGCACTTTTGTAAAACAGTGTCTTCGACTGGGCTGCCACAACAAAATACTGTTGACCCTTGAACAACACGGGTTTGACCCATGTAGGTCCACTCATCCATGGATTTTCTCCCACCCCTGTGACACAGCAAGGCCAACCCTTTTCCCACTGTGGAGATGAGGATGAAAATCTTTATGATGCTATACTTCCACTTAATGAATAGATACATTTTTTCTTCTTGATGATTTTGTTAATATTTTTTCTCCAGCTTACTTTATTGTAAGACTATAGTATAAATGATACATATAATATACAAAATATGTGGTAATTGACGGTGTATGTTACCAGTGAGACTTCTGGTCAACAGTAGTCTGGTAAATTTGGGGGGGATGTGAAAAAGTAATACACAGATTTTTGACTGTGTTTGGGTGTTGGCTCCCCTAACTCTCCGGTTTTTCAAGGGTCAGCTGTACTATGCACTGGGTGGCTTAAACCAAGAAATTTGTTTCTCATGGTTCTGGAGGCTAGGAAGTCCAAGACAAAGGTGCTTCCTATTTGGTTCCGGGTGAGGGCCCTCTTCCTGGCTTGTAAATGGCTGCCTTCTCACTGCAGTCCTCACATGGCCTTTTTTTCTGAGCCCTGTGGGAGGAGTGAGAACCTGAGTGTTCTGGCGTTTCTTCATCTAAGGACACTAATCCTATAGGATCAGGGCTCTACCCTCGTGACTTCATGTAGCCTTAATTACTTCGTTATTCCTAGTATGGCAGTATGAGGGGTTTAGGGCTTCAACATAGGAATTTTAGAGGAACACCGTCTATATTCTACTCAGTTTATAACATATGAAAAAGTTGGAAGTGTTCTCTTTTGATGGTTTTATGATTTGGTATTTTGTAAAAGTGAGTTAATAGAGGAATGTATTGTATTTTACTACTCTACAGAGCTGAAGATGTATATGTGTCATTTGTGTCCATGCTTTCTAACTAATATTTATAATTAGCTACAGAAGTGGTTTACAACCAAGTTAGCATAGAAATCAGAATATTTCTGTGCTTAAGGTAATTGTAAATTTCATTAGCCATTCTAGTAGTACATGAAGCCTATACCACTTAGTTGAATATCCTCCCAACTTATTCCAGGTTCAAATATAGTTTGGTTTCTATATAGAATATCCATGTAATTCAGTAATAGTTTTAAAAAATCATGTTATTTATCTTTGAGTGCATCTTTTTTTTTTTTTTTTTAGACAAAGTTTTGTTTTTTTGCCCAGGCTGTAGTGCAGTGGTGTGATCTCGGCTCACTGCAACCTCCACCTCCAGGTTCAAGTGATTCTCCTGCCTGAGCCTCCCAAGTGGCTGGGATTACAGGCACCTGCCACTCCACCTGGCTAATTTTTGTAGTTTTAGTAGAGACGGGGTTTCACCGTGTTGGCCAGGCTGGTCTTGAATTCCTGACCTCAAGTGATCCACCCACCTTGGCCTCACAAAATGCTGGGATTACAGGTGTGAGCCACCACCCCCGGCCTGAGTGCACCTTTTTATTCAGTAAAAGAAGAAGCCTTTTAATTAACATTAGAGGTTACACAGCTTTTAAAGATGGCTAAACCTCAGTTTTACATAGATTTTGGAACAAAGGTAGAGGTCTTACCTTCAGAGTGTATGTGTCTTCCTCTTTTTTTTTTGGTGAATCTCTATGAATTTTGAATTCCTTCTATTTGTATTTCAGATTGTGGTGGAAGGTCTTTCCCAGGTTTCCCAGATTGATCACACTTCTGTTCTTTCTCACAGGCCAGCCCTCCAGATCTCTATATTGAAAGATTTAATATAGCTCTTGGACAATATATGGGAGCATTGCAGAGCATTGTGCCTCTTTTCATATATATGGTAAGTTAGAGAGCTCCTTCCTCCTTCCCAAATACCTAGGTGTATTGGTCAGAGCACAAATAGATGCAAAGAGTTAAGCATGTTCTGTTTTTCTTTCAGTTCATTTGTGTTAGAAATGGAAATTTAATTATTTCAGTAATGTTTGATAGTTGTTGACATAGAAGAACTTTTTTTTCTGCTTTGAAATTCCGTTAAGTAACAATTGCTGAATAGACAAGTAGGCATTAAGATAAGCAGTCACCCACATGAGTACTTATTTTATTTCTGCTATGTGGAAGGCACTGTGTTTGGTTCTACAAATATAAAGATATGTAGGATTTCTTGTCCTCAGAAAGTAAAATGCCAAGTAAGTTCTTCCATAAAAAATAGAACAGTAAAACATTGCTGCCATTCTGATGATCTGTTTTATTTGGAGAGTTATGCTATGAGTATAAGCTGTAGACTGTGACTTTGTTGATCAGCTTCCTCCCTGTTTTAAATATCCAGAGTCATAGAGTCTTAATGTTAGTGCTCCTGTTGCATGGAGGAGCCCTTAGAAACCATGATCCCCATTCTTTATTAGACTAGGGAATGAGATGTTCAGGTTGATCCTACTTTTTGTAGCATGTAGGTTGCTGTATGTGGATGGCAATCTTACGAATGACTTACTCTCCATAAAATGCACTTAACAAAAACAAAACAAAAGTACACCTACCTCTAATTTAGAAGGCACTTCCCAAAAGACGATGTAGTACTTCATGATTTTCATTTACACTTACTTCTTGGTTACTGACAACAATTTTAATAGCACTAGTTTTCTAGTCAATATAATGCCAAAGAAACTGGTTTTTGCCTTTTACCAAGAAAGGAATGTATAAAAAGGCTTTTCTTTTGGTTTAAGTGCCAGAACTCCTTTATGAATCATGAAACTAAGGAAAAATATTACTGATAACACTAGGAATAAGTGCCTCTAGGTTAGCAGAATTAACTTACTGGGGAGAGTGTAAGCCTGGGAGGTAGCTACATTGTATCATTTTGGTGAAATCCTATCATGGGCTATTCATCAGGAGTGTGTGTTAGGTAAATGTCCTGTACTGACAGAGCAAACATTTTATTTCCGTGCCAGCCGACTGCTTATTCTTGCTGTTTTAAAGTTTTCAGTGGAGACCAGGTATGGAAGCGGAGCTGAAAGACAGGGCCTATTTGTGGATAAAGGAGTTTAGGGTGGGTGAATAGATTTCTTGACTTGCATGTCTGCCATTTTAATGGCATTTACCAGTAAGCATGTTGGCTACGTAGCATTAGTAATAAAAACAAAAGTCTAATTTATAATTTTGAATCAAAAGGTAAATAGCTGGTTTATTAAAAGAATAGGTTAAGACAGAAAGGTGATTTATGCTTTTCTGTATTGCCATTGTTGCTTTCTTAAACTTTATGGTGGGATCCTGGGGTTTAAGAAGTCTTGTGTCAATTAAGAGTAAATGAACTTCAAACTTACTGTTTCAGCTAGCAGAATTCAACTAAGGGATCTTAGACTGTAAAGCTTAACTACAACTTTTCTTATAGATTAAGAGCTTGAATTTGCTTTGTAGTTACTTTTGAAAATTTGTTATTTAAATTGTTTTTATTGTCCAGAAGATAGAAATTATTTGAACTTTGGTACTGCTTTGTTAGAAAAGTATATTAAAGGAAATAGTTTGAAATGTTAACCTACTAGTGCCATAATAAGCAAAGTTTCTTTTGCTGACACAGAAATTTTTTAAAACATTTGTCAAAATTAATGTCTTTGTTAGAAGTCTGTCTATATGAATATCAATAAATTGTCATTAAACTAGAAGATTAATTGTAACTAAGGTCTTGTTGAAAGGCACAGAGATCAAATAAAGACATTTATTTTTGCTTACAATTTTGGAATTTGACATTATTGTACCTGAGACAAAGTTAAAAAGAGGTGGACTAATTGGAGTTTCTAAGTACTTCTGAAGTTTTCATACTATTTATTTTTAATGGTTTCTAGTTACTTACAAAGAGTAGAAAGGGTACATTAAAATGCTGGGCATTCAGATCTTAAATGTCAATAGGACAATATACCAGGAGAGAAAAGCATTATGAACATGTTACAGTGCTGCAGAGGTTTTGTTTATGGCCAGTCTTGGGGGCCAGTTTATGGCCAGATTCTGGGGGGCTTGCTCCCAACAGATTGTCATTGGTGGCAGGGATAGATAGATCAAGGGAACAGAGCCCAGAAATAAGCTGAAGTAAATGTAGAAGTTTAGTAAGAAAGGTGACATTTCAGATCAGTAAGGAAGGAGTAGATTTTTCCATACCTAATGTTAGGAATTTTTTTTTTTTCCCCTGTAGAGATGGGATCTTGGTATGTTATCCAGGCTGGTCTCTAACATCCGTCCACCTATAAGACTTCCACATATAAGAATTACGCAGGTTTATTGTCATCAGTAGGGACTATTATTTAAATAATTTATGGAAGACAGAAAAATATGCAATTATAAGTAACACCACTCTGTTTTTTTAAGAGAAAAATCTTCCAATATACAACATTAAATGAAAAATGAAAAAGCAAGATACAATGCAGTGTTTAATATTTTCTCACTAGTATTTTTTTTTTTTAGGGGGAAAAAAGCATATCCACATATATGCAAGGAACATCCTAGAAAGAATATACAGAAGTTTTCCCAGTGTAGAATGAATGGGACCTTTTGGGATTGGGTCAGAAGGTCTGCATTGAGAGACTTTTTATTGCATACTGTTTTGCATGCTTTCTATTTTTTAACCATGTGCATCTTATTTTTATATATTTTTTAAAAAGACGGAAAAAAAACTTGTGTAAGAATTAAATGGCTAGACGTAGTGGCTCACATCTGTGATCCCAGCTACTCAGGTGGCTGAAGTGGGAGGCCAGGCATTTGAGACCAGCCTGGGCAATAGAGTGAAACCTTATCTCCAAAAAGAAATCTTTTTAAATTAAATTGAGAGAATCAGTGAGCGACTTAACATTCCTCTATGTGTTTTCTACTCTTATGCATTAACACTTAAATATGAAAAACTTTTTTTGCTGGGCGTGGTAGCTCACGCCTGGAATCCCAGCACTTTGGGAGGCAGAGGTGGGCGGATCACCTGAGGTCAGGAGTTTGAGACCAGCCTGACCAATATGATTGCATTCCAGCTTGGGCAACAAGAGTAAAACTCTGTCTCAATAAAAAACAAATAAAAAAAACTAACTTTGTTTTGGACTTGCCAGTAATTCTAGTCAAGATTTCAGCTGCAAGAAACAGAAAACATGATTCAAAGTGATTTAAATAATGAAGAGTATTATCTCTTGTAATAAAACTCCAGAAATGAGGCTGTGTCCAAGGTTGGTTGAATCTGTGGTTCAACAGTATTACTAAGGACTTGGGTTTTGGTCTCTCTGCTGTCCATAACATCTGTTTTATCCTCTTCGCTGTCACGGGTGTCCGAGTGAAGAGACCACCAAAAGGCTTTTGTGTGAGCAATAAAGCTTTTTAATCACCTGGGTGCAGGTGGGCTGAGTCAGCAAAGGGAGATAGGGGTGGGGCAGTTTTATAGGATTTGTGTAGGTAGTGGAAAATTACAGTCAAAGAGGTTGTTGTCTGGTGGGCAGGGGTCACAAGGTGCTCAGACCGGGAGCTCAGAGGGAGCTTCTGAGACTCATTGTCCAGGAGAAGGAATTTCACAAGATAATGTCCTCAGTTAAGGCAGGAACCAGCCATTTTCAATTCTTTTGTGATTCTTCAGTTGCTTCAGGCCATCTGGATGTATAGGTTCAGGCCTGGGCTCAGAGGCCTGACATTCCCCTCATGGTTATAAGATGACTGCAAGAGATTTTTCCCTCATGCCAAGGTTTCTCTAAGGCTGTTTGGGCTGCCTTGAGTGTCTACCTCTGAACCAAAGGTGGTCCCCAGGGAATGCCAGAAGCTGAATGACTTTCATCAGTGAAATTGAGTGTGTACTGGGGAGTCAACCAGTGCATGTCCACAGCCTGCTTTCAACCCAGATCATTGATAAATGGGGTAATTTTCATTAGTGTTTCTCCATGTTGTCTTTTGATGATATATTTTTAAAGGGTGTTCCACACAGTGTGGTTCTGCAATGTTTGTGCATCCCTGTCTAGTTAATGTTGGATATCTCCCAGTGTTCTTTCGGAGATGTATGGTTCAAAACTTTTTTTCATGTTTTCAACCCATGCCAGAAAGACAAGTAACTAACAGCTGCAGAGTTTTTGTTGTTGGATGTTGAGTTTTTCTGTTTTAATTGATGCCTTTATGCATTGTTTTCTAAAATATTTAGTGCTCCAGTTCATTAGACTAACCATTTCCCTAATTAATACACAAAAAAGATTTCGTTTTATTTTTCAGAATAAGTTTTACATCGAAACCAAGCTTAACAGAGACTTAAAAGATGACCTTATAAAGCTGTTTACGGAACATGTTGCAGAAAAGCACATTTACAGCCTAATGCGTAAGTAATTCAGCTTATAGGGGTGAGATAACACTAGCAATGATCTTTCCTTTTTCTTTTTGGTCTGAGAGCACTGTCATGTAAATCCCAATATTAACATCTTCTGAACCAGATAGGAAGTGTTGAAGCCCACCTGAGACACTGCGGAATTAAAAATGGGACTTGAAGGTCACCCGGTGAGCTGTGGGCACATTTACCAGGTCATTGGACAGTGCCCTTGTGTCTGCCCTGATAACTTGTTGCCCGCCCCTTTTTTTCCCTGACAGTGGGGAAAGTATTATTAGGAAGTTCACTTCTAACTTTACTACCAGTAACTCTAGAAGGAATACAGTGTTATTTCTCTGAAATGGTAGTACAGAATCCTCTGATTTTTACTCTTTAGTGCAGAAACCCTTCTCTAGTCTGGTTCTGTCATTTATTCTCTATTTTAGGCAAACTTCTTTGCCTCTTGTGGCCCTGAGTTTTCTCTCCTGTGAATTAGGATTTGTAAAATATTTCATGTGCCTGTGTAGATTATTAAGAATATTAAGCTCAGTTAGTTTCTCCTCTCCCCATTCTTGAGTCCTCTTCCCCTCGCAGTAGGTAGCATCTCATCCTACCTTTCCTGAAAGAATATACTTCTCCAGGTAGAGTTAGGAAGTCCCTGTAACCTAATGTCTCGGCATCCTTTTAAAGCTCATATCTTGTGTGACACATCAAGTCATTTTTTCGAATGTGGCACATATTTGGGTTGGCAGGATGTATTTTTGCTTTCCTGTGAACCATAATTAGTGTCTACCACAATGAACTTTTACTAGAATTTACAAAAGAATTGTTCCAAGCTTGACCATAAACTTTTTTTTTCCCGTTTTTAATGTTAAGTGAAAGAATTATCGAGCGTGGGGCTAGTTTAGAAAGGTAGGGTTTTTTCAAAGAATAGTGTAGTTGAAGATAATATACATTTCATTATTATGTTCCCAAGAGATTCCAGAATCAGAAAAGAGGCCTAGAGTCTTGGGAATATGACTTGCATTTTTTTTTTTTGTAAGGCTGGGAGATGTTTATAAACATCTTTAAACATTGTCTCATGAGGTATTCCAGGTATTATAACCACTTAAGTATTTCCTGATACTGACATTGTCTTTTTGCTTTCATGACAAGATAGAGCATTTTGAAATCTTGTTAAAATTCTGTAGAGAAATGCTACCATTTGGTAGAAAAAGCCTGTCTACTTTGTAAATATGTTTTTATATTTGCCAGTAATTTGGAAACTAATTTTATTGGATGTATGCAAAGAGAATATTCAAGAAAGAATATAGTAGTCCAGATCTGGTGAGAGAAAACATAATCATATTGTCTGGTTTTCAATAAAAATTACACTTAAAGGTGGATATATCTTTTTATTTCCAAGTAAACAGAAAGGTCCGTAAGCTTTTGTAAATTGGACAAAACTGAGTTTGTGAGACATTTATTGCACAATTATCAGGCATTGTACTTAGAGAAATGACTGGCCTGATTGGTTTGAGCTTCAGAACAACAAGGGACAATGTTTAACTGTATTATGTGGATGATCATCGAAGGTTTTTAAACACACACAGGCACTGCTTATATTTGGTAGGACCTATACTTTAAAAATATTTAATTCTCCTAACCCTATAGGATAGGTGTAATCATTACCCTCATTTTAGAAATGGAGAAACGGAAACAAAGAGAGGTTAAAGTTTGAACCAGAAAAGCACAGCTATTAATATCGTTTCCACTTACACATTTTTATATTACCCCTTTACTGCAGCCAAACAAATAACTACATTCAATTTCTGTAATTTTCTACAATCTGATCAATAATTTCCTTCCCGTGGCTTCAGATAGATCTGGAAAGCTAGTGTTCACATTTATTATTGTTGTGTACCAAATCATCCAAAAACACAGTGGCTTGAAACACCAACAGTCTTTTATTTTGCTCTGCAATTTGGGAGGGCTTGGTGGGGTAGCTTATGTCTGCTCTGCTCAGCATTGTCTGTTGTGGCTTAACTGGGGGCTGGGGCTTTCAGTGTGACTCATTCACATGGCTGGTAAGTTGGTGCTAGCTTTTGGTTCCTCTGTGTTTCCTTCATGAGTGAGTATCTCAAGATACAGGAAATGGAAACTGCTGGTTTCTTAGATTCTGGGCTCAGAAGCTGGCACAGTGCCACTTTTGCTGTATTCTGCTGGGCAAGTGGTCACAGAGCCAAAATTCCAGGAGAGAGGAATATATCCTACCTCTTGATAAAAGGCATGTCAGAAGAATTTGGGAGCCATGTCTTAAAACCAATACAAAAATGTAAAACGAATACTGTCTCTGTTAATAAAGAATCAGTTATTGAATGCCCATATCATTCATTATTGGTATGTTTCATGAATGCAAACAGTAACTTCTTACTGGGGATAAAACTAGTTTTCTGTCGGCTCCATGGTATAATCATTTTTTACATATTTGCTTATAAAATAAAGTGGCTTCTATTTTTGGCTGATAGTAGAATTGTTTTCCTTTGAAATTATTTGATTAAACTCTGAAAGCTGCAGAACTACTAGGATCTATTGTTAATCAAGGTTATTTACATTGTGTGTTAGTGATTCTGAGCAAATGTAACAATAAATGTGTAGCATGGGGTTAATGGTAGAAATTTCCTGGGAAAATATAGTACGTTGACTTTTACAGCAGCAGATTTCTAGTTCAGTTTGCATAGTGTTCTAAATGGTTACGTTTTAGTTAATTTTCTTAGGCAGTTCTGTCTTTTAGTTCAAACCATTGTAGTTTGAAATTTTTTTGAAGCCAAGAGTATTTTCAGTTTTGATTTTAAGAATTGCTTTTCAAATTAATAAAGGAGAGAATCTCCTAAGCAAGTGTGTAGCACTGAGGAATACTTGAAAGAGCAGAGGAGCTTCGTTCTGGTCCCAATTCAGGTATCAAAAGGTGTGTGACTTTCTCAGCAAGGCACTTCACCTGTCCAGACTTTACGATTAGAACTTATCTCTTCTGGTGTTTAAACTATATGGCTTATTGATATCTGTGTGATGATTGTTGCATATAAGCAAGCATTTCGGTGTTGGTATGGTGAAGTAGAGTACAGAATTTAGAGTGAAACGTTCTTGAACCTCTTGCCTCTAGCTAACTCTGTGACTTCAGGTGGACTATTCAGTGAGGGGTTTTTGTTTTGGCCTTAGTTTCCTTACCTGTTAAAAATAAAAAGGTAAATGATCGAACTTGTGAGAATTAAATATATGTAAAGTACCTAGCACTTGCTAAATGCTCAGTACTCTTTCCTCTCTCAAGTTTCACCCCCAAACTCCCATTTCTTTTTCCTTAAAAGGGGAGATTAACTAGAAAATCTTTTAAACACTTTTCCTATAGAGTGACACCTTAACTCTAATAATCTTTTGTTATTAAATGTAATCATTTTAAAATTTATTTCAAATATTTATGTACATTTTATGTGTGTATCTTTGTATTTATCATTTCTTCATAGCTATCAAATTTGACATAGGTGATTACAGTAATGGTAGGAATGGTTTACAAATGTATATACTTGACCACATAATCAATATGTTGTTGAATATGAAGAGTTAGTAGGATCATGCCTAATTGGAGGCCAAAATGGTGAAAAGGTTAGGAAGATGGATTAATAAAGAGAGAGAGTGCTTGGATTTTGGATACATGTTGAAATTAGAATCTTATGAGTAGAAAAAACTCTGAAAACCTAACACTTATAATTTAAATTTTTAAACATTGCATTTTAAAGCAACATGATTTTCTGAAATGCTTAGCATTTGCCTACACCAAGCTTGTCCAGCCCATGGCCTGTGGGCCCCACGTGGCCCAGTAAGGCTTTGAATGCTGCCCAACACAAATTTGTAAACTTTTTGAGATGGCATCTTGCTCTATCACCCAGGCCAGAGTGCAGTGGCGTGATCTCGGCTCACTGCAGCCCCCGCCTCCTGGGTTCAAGCAGTTCTCTGCCTCAGGCTCCTGAGTAGCTGGGATACAGGTGCCCACTGCCACGCCTGGCTAATTTTTTTGTATTTTTGGTAGAGATGGGGTTTCGCCAGCCTGGTCTTGAACTCCTGACCTCGTGATCCACCCTCCTCAGCCTCCCAAAGTGTAAGGGATTACAGGTGTGAGCCACCACTCCCAGCCCATAAATTTTCTTAAAATGAGTTTTTTTGCAATTTTTTAAAGCCCATCAGCTGTTGTTAGTGTATTTTATGTGTGGCCCAAGACAGTTCTTCCATTGTGGGCCAGGGGAGCCAAAAGATTGGACACCCCTGGTGGTCTATGCCATTCAAACTTGTAACTGTCTACTGATGATAAAATCGGAAGGATAAACTTAACAGTCCATCTCTGATGGCCTTCATCATATATATGCAGACATAACTCAAATTGTATGTTCGAGACTATAAAATCCTCATTGGCCTAGTAAGATGGCATTTCTCTTTTTAGAAAGGCATGAATAGAACAAAATCGGTTTACATGTGATGTTATAAGCCTGGCTTAGGGTAAAATCATACCAAGTTTGTTGTTGTTGTTATTAGCAAATGTAGGTCTTTGAGATAAATTAAAAATGAATCATTTTAGGTCAGTAGTATCTGTTGTGTTCACTAATCAATGGAATTTGTATTTGTTAGTGATCTAATCTAGAGGAATTGTTAGTAGTATTTGTTAGTGATCTAATCTAGAGGAATTATTCCTCCTCATTAAAAACTTTTAAAAAATGTTTGTGTGGCAGTAGATAACCTAAAAGAAAACTGTCTCTGTTGTCATGTTCAGAGTCAGGGTCACCAAAGACATGAAAAATGAGAAAGATGAGCCATCATCATCCCTTGCCCTTAGCTCTTGTAAGAAAATAGTAGATGTAGCTATAGCGTTTGGGGAAATGAATTTCTGTCTCTGATCACAGTTACCAAATAATTACTAATGGTGATTTGGGGGAAGGAGAAATGATTGAGGGAGGTTATTGTATGATACTTTATTCTCCAAATGTAATGGAAGCATTTTCAACTCAACTCAGTTATAATCAGTTATAATGTATCATTCATGATAGGTTATACTAGTGCTTTTAGAAAGCTTTATTTACTTCTCAGAACCTCCATGAATTGATTCATTTCCATTAGTGTGTCAGCAGACCTTCACGTATTTTAGCTACTGCACTGGATTGAAAAAATAAAATCCTTAGTATATAAACGTTTGATTGGTTTATTTGACTGTTCATTTCTTACAATTGTTTATGTTTCAGGAGTTTTTGGGAAAACAGTAATAGAGAAATCTTGACAATCAATACGTGTTACATTCTTTTTAACTTGTTTTCTCTTATTTCAGCTTTACTTTTAGAAGCCCAATCGACACCATTTCAGGTCACACCTTCAACTATGGCAAATATTGTGAAAGGCCTGTATACCCTCAGACCAGGTAAACATTTCTCATTTCTGTTGGAGTTGGAACTGTTTGTTACAGCCTTTTCCAAGAGGGCAGTGGTTCTGTATGTGTTTTGTGAGGCCTAATGGTACTTGCATTTGCTGGAGCAAAAAAATTGAATAGACATTCATCATTGTAAAATGTAAACTCAGAGCTCAGTTGGAATGTTCTCTGCTAGTGGAAACCAACTAGTTTGTTTTTTTGCAGAACCTGTGAGGGAAATACAAGAAATAAATTGTAGAATACAATTTATTTTATGGATAAAATTGAACCTCATATTTGGTCTTAATTTCTCCTTTACTTCCTACCTCACGCTGCACATACAGACATCCACATTCACAAGTCCATCTTCTTAGGCCTGTTAAGTAACTTGCGAAGTTACAGTCATTTTGTAAAGATGTTCTGGGGAGAGAAATAGAAATAATCACAAGAACTAAAGGAAATACCAAAGATAACTATAGTCAAAAGCCTATAAAGGACACTAGGGACAGTTGGCCACACCTGTAATTACAACCACAACATGAACAAAGAACATCATGAGGTCGAGAGATCCAGCACACACCATAACATGGGGAAACCCTGTCTCATCAAAATAAAAAAATTAGCCTGGCATAGGGTGGGCGCGTTAGTCCCAGCTATCGGAAGGCAGGAAAATGACGTGAACCCAGGAGGAGGTGAAGCTTCCAGCCTGGGCGATAGAGCGAGGACCCTGTCTTAAAAAAAAACCAAAAAACAACCTTCTTAGGCTACTTTAAATGATTAATGACTTCTAGAGTATTCAAATTTATTGTTAAATTTTGGATCAGGTTTTGAGCTCTACTCTGATTTTTGACAGAAATTACTTGTATAAAGTAGTAAAGATATTTTATTGCATGTGTCCAATAAACTGATATTTTTCTGTATCTAGTTTCTCAGATTTTACAGCAGTGTGATGAAGATGGCTCCTGAAGTCGTGTGTGTGGTGTGTGTGTGTGTGTACGGTGTACAGGTTAAATG